AAGAAGAAATCAGTTTCTACAATTAAATAATGATGATACAATATACGGAACCTTGTGGGAAAAAATGAAAGCAGTCCTATGAGGGAGATTTATAGCAGTGAATACCTATATCAGGAAAACAGAGTGTGCTCAGATAAACAACCTAATGTTGGACCTCAAGATTCTAGAAAAAGAAGAGCAAGTCAAGCCTAAAGCCCATACAAGGGAGGAAATTATAAAAATCAGAGGGCCAGCGATTTGGTTCTGTGGTTCTGCTGCCTGCCTTGCAAGTGCAGGGGCCTAAGTTCAATCCCCTATACAAAAAACAAAAACAAAAACAAAAAAACAACCAAAAAACCAAAAACCAACAATACAGAGAATCAATGAATCAAGGATTTGGTTCTATGAAAGATTAAATAAAATGGATGAACACTTAGCCCTATTTTTAAAAAAAGGAAAGGAAAGACTCAAATCCATGCAATTAGGAATGAAAAGGGTGAAATCACAAAATTCCTTACAGAGGTCCAGAACATCATCAATATGTACTTTAAGAACCTCTATTCTTGGGCTGGGAATTTAGCTCAGTGGTGCCACTGCCTGCCTCACAAGTGCAAGGTCCCAAGTTCAATCCCCAGTACCAAAAAAAAAAAAAACCCCAAAAACAAAGAACCTGTATTCTAATAAAATGGAAAATGCAAAAGAAATGGACAAAGCCTGGGATTTAGCTCAGTGGTTTCGCTGCCTGACTTGAAAGCTCAAGGACCTGAGTTTGATCCCTGGTACAAAAAAAAAAAAAAAAAGAGAAATGGACAGATTCCTAGATACATATGAATTACCAAAATTGAATCAAGAAGATATAAAAATTCTCAACCAATTCAGCCAATGAAATTGAATATGGAATTAGAAACCCAAGAACAAAGAAAACCCGAGGCCCTACTGAATTCTACAAGAACTCTACAAAAAATTTAGAGACCTAATGCCACTACTTCTCAAACTCTTTAATGAAATTGAAAGGGAAGCAATACTCTCAAATTCATTCCTGAAAGGAAACATTACCCTGATACCAAAACCAGAGATGGGCTGGGGATTTAGCTGAGTGGTTTGGTGGCCTGCCTGACAAGCGCAAGGACCCGAGTTCAATCCCCGGTACCAAAAAAACAAAACCAAAACCAGAGAACGATTCAACCAGAAAAAGAGAACTATAGGCCAATCTCCCTACTGAAAATAGACTCAAAAGTACTCAGTACGATACTATCAAACAGAATGCAGCAAATCATCAAGGTTATACACCATGACCAAGTTGGATTCATCCCAGGGATGCAGGGATGGTTCAACATATGCAAATTAATAAATATAATACACTATATTAATAGAGGATAAAAACCACATGATTCTCTCAATAGATGCAGAAAAGGTCTTTGACAAGGTCCAACACCCATTCATGATAAAACCCTACAGAAAATTAGTATAGATGGTCTTAATCTGATAAAAGCCATCTATGACAAACCAACAGCCAGTATTGTACTAAATGGACAAAAATGGAAAGCCTTCACTCTAAAATCAAGAACAGGACATAAAGATGATAATGTACATACTTTCTGGTTAAGCAGTTATACTATTATATTTGTAAAATAAAATACATTTATACACATGTATAGGAGATATAAAAAAAGGCTATGCCTTTAAGTGTAACAATAAAAAAAAAAAAAAAAAAAAAAAAGAACAGGACAAAGATGTCCATTGTTACCCCTCTTGTTCAATATAGTTCTGGAAACACTTGCCAGAGCAATTACACAAGAAAGAAGGAAAGAAAAAAAAAGACAGGAAAGTAAAAAGTTAAACTATCATTATTTATGGATGACATGATACTCTACACAGAAGACACCAAAAACTCCATCAAAAGACTTCTAGTGGACCAGGGATTTAGCTCAGTGGCACCACACCTGTCTTGCAAGTGCAAGGTCCTCAGTTCAACCCCTGGTACCAAAAGCAAAAAAACAAAAAACAAAAAATCAACAGCTTTCCTGTACACAAATAACAAACCCACTGAGACAGAAATTAGAGAAACAACCCCTTTCACAATAACATCCAATTGCCAGGGATTTAGCTCATTGGTTCCACTGACCACCTCACAATAGCATTCAAGACAACAAAATACCTAGGAATGAATCTAGTGAAGGAAATAAAAGACCTCTACATTGAAAACTACAGTACTCTGAAAAAGGAGATTGAAAAGGCTATCAGAAAATGGAAAGATAGCCCTTGTTCTTGGATAGGAAGAACCAAAACAGTGAAAATAGCTATACTTCCAAAATTGTTATATAGATTTAATGCCAATCAAAATTCCAAAAGCATATCTCTCAGAATTAGAGAAAACAATCCTAAAAATCATTTGGAACCAGAAGAGAACTAGAATAACAAAGGCAATTCTGGGCAACAAAGGCAAGGCACAATCCCTGACTTTAAATTACATTAGAAAGACACTGTGGCTGGGCGTGGTGGCCCACGCCTGTAATCCTAGCACTCAGGAGGCTGAGGCAGGAGGATCGCTGTGAGTTGAGACCAGACTGGGCTACACAGTGAGTTCCAGAGCAGTCTGAACTACATAGTGAGACCCTGTTTTTTTGTTTTGTTTTGTTTTGTTTTAAAAAAAAGGCACTGTGATAAAAACAGCATGGTAAGGGCCTGGGGATTTAGCTCAGTGGTGCCACTACCTACCTTTCAAGTGCAAGGTCCTAAATTTGATCTCCAATACCAAAAACTCAGCATGGTACGGCTGGGGATTTAGCTCAGTGGCACTGTACCTGCCTTGCAAGCACAAGGTCCTGAGTTTGATTCCCAGTACCAAAAACAAAACACAGCATGGTACTGATAAAAGAACAGAACTGAGGATTGATGGAAAAGAGTAAAAGATGCAGAAACAACTGAAGACATACTCAGGCACTTAATCTTGACAAAGGAGCCAAACAGCTTCACTGGACGCAAGATAACTTCTTTAACAAGTGTTAAAGGTTTCAACTTGCTGAAGACTGAAACAAGACCTTTTATGATGCACTAACCTGAAATCAAAATGGATCAAAGATCTAACTATTGCCAGGCGTGGTGGCGCATGCCTGTAATCCCAGCACTCGGGAGGCTGAGGCAGGAGGATCGCTGTGAGTTTGAGACCAGCTTGGGCTACATAGTGAGTTCCAGGTCAGTCTCAACCACATAGTGAGACCCTGTCTCAAAAGACAACAACAACAACAACAAAAAGATATAACTATTAAAATGGAAACACTAAATTTGCTGGGAGAGAGAACACTTGAGTATATAGGAGTAGGCATAGCCTTCATGAACAAAACTCACAATGAATAGGAAATACTACAAAGAACCAACAACTGGGACCTCATTTCATTAAAAAGCTTTTGTACAGCAAGAGAAACCACCAACAGAGTGAAGAGAGAACCCACAGCTTGGAAAAAAACCTTTTACCAGCTATTCATCAGATAAAGGACTATTATCTAGAATATATGAAGAACTCAAAAAAATCAGCCCCCTCCAAATTTAAAGACCCAGTCCAAACATGGGCACCTGAAATGAAGACACTTCTCAGATGAAGAATTAGAAACAGCAAATAAATATATGAAAAAAGGTTGAACGTCACTAGTCATTCGTGAAATGCAAGTTAAAACAACGCTGAGATTCCATCTCACTCCAGAAAGAATGGCTTCTATCAAAAAATCAACCAATAACAAATGCTGGAGGAGATGTGGGGGAAAAATAAACCCTTCTCCACTGTTGGTGGGAGTATAGAGTGGTGCAACCACTGTGGAAATCAGTGTGGAGATTTCTCAAAAAAAAAAAAATTGGAGGTTCAATTTGACACAGCTATTTCTCTTTTTGGTATCTTCCTGAAAGAATTAGAAGCATAATACCAGTGATATATGCACAACCATGTTTATAGTGGCACAGTTTATAACAGCAAAAACAGCACAAATGCCCATCAACTACAGAGTGGATAAAGATGATGTTGTCTGGTTATCTATCCAAAAGCCTGCATTTTAGCTTTTTTTTTAACATTCACTTAATCTAGAAGTCTGATCCCTTTCCCCCAGTGAACTCTGAATTTCATGCTCTGAGAAAATATCTCACAGGACTGGGCCCTCCTTAACCGTCTATCTTCCTTCTAATTTATGTAAATTTTTGCGGTAGCTACTTATGTAAAATACAGTAAAAATTTATCATACACAGTTTCTATGAAATATTAAAGGAGGGAGGGGGATTTAGCTCAGCGGTTCTACTGTCTGCCTTGCAAGTGCAAGGTCCCAAGTATGATCTCCAGTACCAAAAAAAAAAAAAAAAAAAAAAAAAAAAAAAAAAAAAAAAAA